TTCCTCAACTGCATCTTTGCAGCTTCCCTGAAAGATTCTGAACACATAAATAAAGCTGGAACCCCATCTGGCTGAAAAAAAAATCAGCCATCTGCAGATTTGGAAATATGGGGGAACTTCTAATGGCTGCAATTTTTTTTTCAGTTCTCAGCCAGATGTTTGGTGTCATTCAGGCCCATCTGCAGTAGAAACAGCAGTTTATTGAACTTCCTTTCCTCGATTTGAAGTTCCCTAAGTTATAATCCTGAGTAAGCTTTTTTTTCTTAATATCCAAAGCCTTTTAAATGAGTTATACAGAGTAATTCATGAACTGAATATGAAAATAGAAATTTGATTTCAAAGACCATTTAGGTAATTTTTAGGGTTCAAAACTGGCAACCTATGGACAAAATTAAGCTACAATGTAAGTAGTTTGGGTGAGTCCATGTGTTTAAAAGGTGAACTATTTGCTTGTATTTTAAAATTCAAATGCTTTTAATGCCTGATTTTTCCTTGATCTTTTCTCTTCTTTTTATGTATATTCTCATGGTTATGTGTATGTATGTACCTATGGTTACATATGTATGTGTATCTGTATGTGTGTTTATGTGTGCACATGTATGTGTGTGCATATGTGAAGACCAGAGTCTGTAGTTGGTTGCTCTCCACCCTATATGGTGAGTCAGGGTCTCTCACCTGAGCCTCCAGTTTCCCAACTCAGCCAGCGTAATTATCCAGATTGCTCTGAAAATCTGTGTTTGCCAGGATCACAAGTAGTCTGCCGTAATGACTTAGCACTTACATGGTGGAGGTATCTCAACACTGGTCCAGACATTTATGTAACAAACATTTAACCTATTGAGCCATCCCCTGCCCCATGCTTGGCTCTTCTTTACCTACCTTATTGTTCATGTTGCTTTTCTCCCTTGAATTTCAGTTTACTCAGTTCTAAGGTAAGACCTTTAGATTGATACACATTTCTCCAGAGTCAAACTCAATTCAAGACAAATAACAGTTGTTCTTTAGATGGTCTCTCCAACTTGGTACAGTCCCCACTACCATCTACAGCCACAAACATTGAGACTAAAGTCTGGTCATCACGTCTCTCTAAATATACTGTTGTTGTCTACCATACAACTTGGGTAAAAGAGTATGATAAGCTTTCTTCACACTTTGCATGACCTGGAAAGGCCACATGGACAGTGGACTTATAGTTTCTTAGCCTCATCTAAAGGTCTTATCTTAGAACTCAGTAAACTGAAGTCTAAGGGAAGAAAGCAGCATGAACAATTTACATGACTCTTAGGGATAAAAATGTGATTAGTATCCAGTGTTCTTTATTGCTAGGCTAGTGGCCCCTCCACCATCTACATGCAATGCTTTGCTTGGATCTAGGGCTTTATTTTATTTATTTATTTTTAATGAGAGAGATGACTACTGAACACATTTTCATTCAAATTCACAGACTGCCTTTGAAAGCATGCATCAGGTTGGGGCATTGTGAATGCCTTGCCTGCTTTCCAGATAATGAGTCAGGCAATTGCTTGGATTTCTTGCTGTGGGTGTCTCTGTATAGGTTGATTGGTTTCTCATTCAAAGTGCATCTTTTGCTGCTCTGAGTTTGTTCTTGTCTGGTGGCTCCTGCATCCCTTCCATCGATGCACAGATAAGCTGAGTGTTTTCAGATCTGAGACTTCTGAATGGAAAAAAACCATGTGTCTGGGCATTCTCGCTAGTCAGTGTTTGTACCGGCAGCAAATCAGCTGCTAAAGCATGAACTCAGGCTCTCTAGCAATGATCTGAGAAGCTGCAGGTTTTAGGTTACATATGACCTGCGAAGTTTAGGTGTATGACCTTGAGCAAATTATGGAACTTCTCCCAGCCTCAGTTTTCCAATCTATAAGGTGAGGGTAATGACAGTCCCTTGTATCCCTGAGCTCCTCTGAAGATGAAAAACCCAACTGTTCAAAATACTGAAAACGGTACTACAACATAGCAAGGGCTGAGTATAAATGACACTGTGCTGGGTCCTAGGGTGACAAGATAGAAGTAAGCATCTCTTGCCCTGGTCCTCATGAGCATGCACAGTCATCCCCAGGGACACTGTAAACATTCATCACATGTGGACTCTAACACCATAATTTCTTGAAGGACTTTTAGAAAATTTAGATTCGAGGGATGTACCACAGACCTATGGAGGCCTGGAATGTAGTTGTGGAGTCTCATAGTTTATTTTTTAAAACCTATTCATGAGATTCCAGTGACTAGCCAAGTTTGGAGATAATTGATATTATTATTATTATTATTATTATTATTATTATTATAGACTTGAATACTTCTGCTGTTAGAGGACTCATTATTGCTGGAAGCTTCCGACCCAATGATGGCTAGTTATTTATGTTTAGGTAAAACACTGACTCCCTTGAGGCCACAAAGAACATTTTAAATCTCTCTTCCAAATGACAGCCTTTCATAGGTTTGCATACAGCTGTCAAGTCCCTCCTGAGTATTTCCCTATTTGGGGCAAAATAGTCACATTGTCTTGTGGCTCTTAAAGTATGAAAAAAAGACTCTTCTCAATTATATGTAAGAAAAAATGATCTAAAATACTCCCTACATAGGTCCTTTGATGTTCAAAGAGCCAGAAGATGAGAATGTTGCTGTTCTGAGACAGAGAGGAGCTAGTGAATAGAGATGGTTATTTATCTTCATCCTCACAGAAGATGGAAATCTTAGAATATATACTGTCTGCTGCATGTGTCTTACCATGCAGAAAACAGAGGCTCTTGCAAATTTCTTGAGCACTTGATGTGTTCACTCCATTAAGAAGAATCTTGGCTTCAAATTTTAGCCAGGCCCATCTAGATGGTAAAAACTTTTCAGATTCACAATGGTTTATGTATCTTACCGAAGAGAATGCTTCAAAATATAAGATTTAGCTGAGAAAAGCTATAGAAAGACTCCAACAAGTTTTTTTCAAAAGAACTGACTAGCCCAAGAACACATCTTCACTCCCTCTAATTCTTCCCCAATTTCCTTTCTCAGTTACCCCACTCAAGCGATGGAACACTCAGTTGAGGCTTTGGTCCCATGCATGAACTGTAGGCACAGAGTAGCATGTTGGAAAGAAGAGGAAATGCTTTTTATGAGGGTTTGAGGAAAGGTCCAGAAAATGTAGGCCCTGATTTTATCTTGACAGACTTTTAAATAAGTAAGGCAGGGTGAAGAATGTCAGTATCAGTGTTTAATTTTACATTTCCAGAATATTTCCAAGAGGCAGAATGACTATAAATGACTGAATCTGATATACTTATGTATGATTTTGGCTGGGAAAGAACCTGTTTTTTTTTTTAATGCCACCTATGTAGGTAGGCATCATCATATATACCAATCACAGCATTGCAAAACTGATTTGATTCATAATTGACAGCACAGCAAAGGGAATGGTGGAATTTCTCCAAGGTGAATGACCTCATGCTACCCAACTGCAAATGGTCAGAAATAAGCACATTTTAGAATTTCTGTCAGTATACTGGCTACAGTGTAAGCCTGAGTAGTCCTAACTCAAGACTATTGATTCCAAATCAGTCATTTCTTGGGTTAACTGAGAGTTAAAAGGGACAAATACCTTAGCTAGGAGTATAGAGACCATTTGCAGCATTACTTGGGTTTACTGACTTCACATGAAGTAGCCCTTCCCCTCCTGGGTTTCCCACCAGTTGCAAATCTGTGTTGGAAACAGAAGCAACTGTAGTGGCGCTATAGTCAAGAGAGTTCAGAGCATCAGGACGTGGGAAGGAGGCCAGAGAATGATGCAATATTACACTAGCAAGTGATGTCATAGCATTATTTCCCAAGTCATTTACATAAATTCGAGTTCCCAAGAAACCCTGAGAAATGCCACAGGGAATGCAGGGGGAGGAACCAAGGGAGATTGAGGGGAGGGAAGGAAGCCTGTATTTTCTTGACTACTGTGATAAACTCCAGTGACTTCCTGGAAGCCACAGAAATAACAAAAATCAACCAAGCAGACAAATAAAATCCCTTCTTAGTGGCCTTTTAATCTAGTGGCTCCCTTAGGTAACAAGTTCATAAAGCTTTGATTTTCTTCGTTATTTTTTCACTCCTCGTGATACCCAGGTATCGTTCATTGAAACTGACAGTCACTCTTTGAGCAGTGAAGCAAGTTTAGTACTGACATAGGCTACCTAAGAGCTTCACATTCTAAAAATGGCCTGCCTGTCTCATTATAATTTAGAACAAATCCTCTAATTTTTAAAATTAGAAGCAATGAGAGGCAATTCTTGGAGTCAGTCTTGTCTAAATGTCAAGGAAATACATTTGCTGGTGATGGGCGTGATTTATGAATGAAGTCAGGTGGATAGCAAACATCAAGACTTCAGTTTTATTTTGAGCCTAAATAATGAACACTTATTCACAGACATTTTCTTTAGATGTAGGGGTGTGGAAGTTGGGGTTTACATATTGTTCCCTAGTATAAGTTAACAAAGGAAGTTCATGACAATGTCTAGTTGGACAAAACTCAGAAGAAGCTGGTAAGCTTTTATTGATTAAAAAATTAAAAAAAAAAACAGACCAGATTGCCCCAGGTTAGATCAGTTCCTCAGCACCTTCCTGTCTTCTCTCCTTCTGCTCCTTAATAACCCCCATTCACCAAAATGCAATTAAACAAATCCAAAGTCTCCTTCTCTAGACAGAGAATCAAGCAGTGTACAACATGCCTAGAGATTCGAGATTAGAAGCTTTCTCAACTGCAGAAGGTGCTTAAGAGTGTTACAAAATCACATCACATTTAGCTTAGACCAAAAACAATCAACAAGACCCAACCCTTCCATCCACACAGCACCAGCTTCAGTGGAAGCATAGTCTGGACACTCGCACATTTCCAACAACAATTTAAACTATTTTTCTTCCCCTTCATTGCCTCTATTTTTCCCCCAACACACGTCAGGACACTAGAAGCAGATCATTCAGAGCCAGTGAGAGGAATTTGTAACTACCTTCCAAGCAGCAGGTCCTCCACAACCCGGAGTGGGTCATTACTTCTTCATTCTTCCTGCTGGTTTCATTGTCACTTGTAGATTTAGTCCTGCACACACCTCTGGAATATAGCCAGTAGTCCGTGCCCACTGCAATGGTCATTAAACTAAAAGCTGCAAAGGCTCCTACAGTGGTGATCAACATCTGGATACCTCTGTCACACATCCTCATAATTCTTCATGGTACTCTGAACGGCTGGGGGTTGGAGGGGTAGATTCAGTGACAGACGGGAGAATCACTCTGCAGCTGGGTAACCTAGGACGGCCTCTTCCAAAAATCCGGATCTCCTTTTGTCAGCATCCACGGGGACTTTGGGAAAGCTGGGATTTCCTGTCTTGAGCTCTCTCCAGTTCCCCGAGTCCTCTATGGCCCTCGGGAGGGTGCGGGCTCCAGGGGGTTGGTCCACATCACTGCCGCGGTCAGAGGATTCCTGGGTTGCTTTCATTCCTCAGGAGCTTGGTGAGGACTAGCGTTTGTGCAGGGCATGGCTTCGGAGCTCGGAGCTGCCAGCTTGGGTTGAGATGCGCCTGGTTTCTCACAGCCCCGGAAGACTCAAGGCAAAAGAAACCCAGAGAGGTCTGGTGTGTGAGCGTGTATGTGTGTGTGTGTGTGTGCGTGTGTGTGTGTGTGTACGTGTGTATGTGTGTGCGTGCGTGTGTATGTGTGTGTGAGTGTGTGTGTTTGTGTGTGTGCGCGCGCGTGCGTGCGTGTGTGCAAGCGCGTGTGCTGGGGGTGAGGGCGGATGGCAAAAAATAGCTCTTCTGGGAGGCGAGTCGCTGAGAAGAGTGTTCACTGCTTCCCCAGCCTCCCAGGAAAGCTCTCCGCCTGCTCTCCACACCCCCGCGCAAACTGGAGAAAAGGGAGAGTCCTGGGGCGGGGGCCGGCCACTTGCGTCGGAGGGCTGAGGTCCGTGGTGCTGAACGGACAGCTCCCCGCCTGTTGCCCAGCCTCCTGCTTCTCAATGCCAGGTCGTTGGAGGTTCGTGGTGCTGAAGGGACAGCTCCCCTTTGCCGCTGCACCGTTGCTGGTGGCGCTCCTAAGCTAGGAACCTGGGGTGCTGAAGGGTCCCTCCCCTAACACTCTCCTAGTGCGTTCCTTGAACCCGCCTGTCAGCTCTGCTTTATGCCCACAACCAAGCAAAGTTTCGGGAGCCCTGGGCAGTCAGCATCGGGGTTCCAGGGCACTGCAGCACGGCTGATCCAGCTGCTCAGAGAGAAGGGTTAAGGACAAGGACCCACAGCGCACTCTGGCGCGCGCGTGTTATCTCAGCGCCCACCCAAGGCAGCATTCTCTAATCAACCCTCCTCCTCATCACTGAGCCCAATGAGCCAGGCAACTTTGCTCTTTGCTGCAGGAGTCCACTGGGGAGACAGAAGCCGGGAAAGATCTAGTCTTCTTAAAGGGATGGGAGACTCTGACTGGTGGCTCACTTGGGTGGGCAAAATGTTGTCTGTGTGTATCTGTCTCAATTCGTTCCTCAGAAAACAAACCAATATGTCTACCCTCCTGTCTCCGGAGCTCGGGTTTACACAGGAGACAGTGTGCTCACATCAGACTCAGAAGTATTCATATGTATATATGAACATATCCCTCTAAAGAGCTGAAGGGACTAAATGTACCTAGACTGTTGTTCACATATCAGGGACCTTGGATGAAGGGATGTAAGGGTTTGGTCTCTGAATACACTTCTTAAATATTTTCACACTTTTACATTTGAGGGGGCGGCGAATTCAGGATGAGAGAGCATTGGAAACGTCAGCTTCTTTCCAAGGGCCCTGGTGCTGTTCATTTGTTAACATCTTCTCAGTCAGACCAGGAAGCAGGTGTAATTAGGTCTGGGTTCCTTGCTTGCCCAAAGCACAAATGTCATCACACACCTGTGAGTTCTTTCCCTCAGAAATAGCAAATGCTGAAAAGAACCGGCACAGGCCAGCTTCCTGGTTCCATATGTTCTAGCATATAGATAAGGACACACACTAAGTTGACTTCAGGCATTCCACCAAATTGCTCTGACCAGTTATTTTCTTGTGGATGACAGGTACTGATACCCATTTGGGTGCTTAGAATTGAGGCTGCATGGGCTGTTTCTACAATCCGTGAGCTGTGCCCACAGCCAGCTGTCATATTTGAGTGTTATTTAACTGGACAAACATATAATGGAAGGGAATCACAGACATATCCATTCCCCAGAATGCCATTTCTGGCTGTATGAGAGCTTCTATTCAGGTAACTGGGTAGGGGCAATATACTAAATAAATCTCAGACTTGACTCACAAGGTTTTTTGTGACTTTGACGTTTTTATTCTTATGTTAATGTCATTTAAAGATTTGGCTCTTGGTGTTACACATATAGGCTTATTTGTATAGCTGTGTTTACATCTAAATGAGTGCTATGGTCAATTTTGCCATGATTTCTCAATGCCTATGGATTTGTTGCAGACATAAAGTAGATATGTGAATATATATATATATATATATATATATATATACATACACCTGCATGGTGCAGTTTGTGGGGTCATGTGATCATGCTTTATAGAAATACACAGCTGAATGTGTGTGTGTGTGTATGCAGGTGCAATGTGGACTTATCTGTTTATATGTATTGAGATATATATATATATATATATATATATATATATATATATGTCACCGTTCATACTGACAATTTAACATATAACAAAATGAAGTGTAATCTTAGGGCCAAGACCATAACTAGCAAGTCTAGAAGCACATGGGAGGCAATGGGGGAAAGATACATGAGCCATCTTCTAAGTGACTTAATGTCTTTTTTTTTCTTATATAGAAAATCTGTTTCTCAGTTATGATTACTGATATTCTTGATCACTATTACTTTTGTTGCTAATTTAAATAGTATTGACTACTAACTTTCTTTTTTTGTTTGGAAATGGTCTTAATGCAGTTTAGGCTGATCTCAAACTTGTTAGAAAACCTAGGCTGACTTTAAACTGTTCTTTCTGCACCCATGCCTAGAATGCTGGGATAACAGGAGTAGCTATCACACACAGCTTTATTGATAACTATTAATTTAAAAGGCCACCTAGTTACATGAAGGTGAAGTTGGTCTTTCCTGGGAGGTCTTATACGATTGATAGATATTTCTTTCTCACTCTCAGAAGTTTCAATAATATGAAATAATTAATAACAATCAAACAGACATTTCTTGTTCTGTTTTATTCTTCTCTTACTCCAGCAGAGAAAGGAAAGGTGTGCTCTGTAGCAAGGCAGTGATGGTGGGAAGGCTCTAGCCTTAGGGATAGTGTGCGCCATGAGTCCATTCACCAGATGAACAGCAAAGCAACAAAGTCCCAGATCCTATCCTCAGATTTGTAACAGAAAGCCACATATATCGAGAGTCTGGCTGGTGGAACCAAGTATCCAGATAGACTACCGGGAAGAACAGTCAAGTGCTCAGGTGGCTAAAGAAGACAACCATAGCCAGAAAACAGAAGAGAAGTGGCTGCAATGTCCAAGAATAGAGCTTTGTGCTGTAGCTTGGTGACGCAGGTCATCCTTGGTAACCTTTGTCCAAAGCCAAAGCTAATTTGAGTGTAGGGGCATCTGGAACATATCTGAGCACCTGACTGAAGTGAGAGCAGAGGCAAGAAGCCCGTCACTTAGAATCTAATAATTTCGCCTCACGTACTAGGGGAGGACCTCAGTCTTTCATTCAGCAATGCCCTGTAGGTGTGCACATGGGTGTGTGGAATCTGCTGGTGGGCTGAGAGAGAATCACTTATTCTCACCACCAGAGGGCTCTTTCACCAGTTCAATCGAAATTCAAAGCATCCTCTTAAGGAAATGGAGCCAGAGGCTTCCTCCTTGTTTGCCAATGATCTTTTCTGATCCTGCTCATCTGGCAGGAGACTCAGATGACATTCCGGCAGCTTAAAGCCTGCGCAGCTTTCTCTTATTGAGACTTTTCTTCCACTGAACTCTTAGCTTGCCATTAACAGCCATAGTATTTGTGCTTTTTCTCATCGGTTAGGGTTCCACTTATGAAAGTATTATTAACAGCTAATTCAATTGCATAACTGTTTTGAGTGCCCACCATGCACAAGCCAGCCAGCTCTGCACTTGGGACAGTGACATAAGTCTCAATCTCCATGGAGCAGGAGCTGTGTCAGTGAGCACGTTTTGTCTACAAGTGCCAGAAACTCACTGGAGCTCACTTGAGAAAATGGGGAGTGTAGCATAGAAATATGGGGGGTGTTTTGAGGAACCAAAAGCCAAAAATGAAATTAGAATTGGAATCAGAATCGGAATCTCGAAGTAAAAGCCACTGGGATCCTTGATGGCTTCTGTGGTTTCCAACTGTGCCTCTTATTACACTCTTAGGAAAAAAAAAGGGTTTACCTTCTATGTTGCACTCTCATTGCTAATAATGCCCGACCTAAGCAGCTGGCAGGATGCTGGTGGCGGTGGCGGTGTGTGATCTATTGGCTCCTGGTTTCAGAGGTTTAAATCCATCATGCAGAGAGAGAGAGCATGCTAGATCAGGGCAGCTCCCACTATGGCAGACAGGAGGCAGAAAGGGAGGGAGGGGGAGAAAGAGGGAATCCAGGAGGAAGGAAAGGAAGAGAGGAGGAAGAGGGAAGGAGGGAGGGTAAGTGCCCTCAGCCTATGGACTGCCTGAGAGCAAATTGTCCCCTTTAGGTTAATGTCTCTAGAAATGACTTCACAGATACACCCAGTGATGGTGCTTACTAATCTCCTAGGTGCTTCTCTAGCCAATCAATGTGATAACCAAGCTCAACTCTCATACCTTCACTATAATATGAGCTTCAAGATAGGAGCTAGATTGAGCTCCAATTTAGAATATCCAGAATTGACAACCTAGCTGGTTGAGCTTGTGTTGTGTTATTAAACTGCTACCAATCAGATGAGCTCAGAGGAAGAGGATCCTATGATACAATCTGGCTAAGAAGACCATGCCCTGTGAGCTAGGGAATGGAGGTAGAGCACAGTATCCTGACACTACAGATGGAAGCCAAGGCACATATCTTTGCCTGAAGGAAGCAGACATAGAATTTGAGCATCTTGTAAAATGGCAAAGATAGGGTCTAGTGAGATGGCTCAGCAGTTAAGAGCAACAGCTGCTCTTCCAAGGTTCGATTCCTGGCAAACCCAAATGGTAGTTCACAACCATCTGTAACTCCACTCCCAGGGAATCTGATGTTCTCTATTCTGGCCTCTGAGGCCATCAGGCACACACAGGGTAGTACACAGACATACATGCAGGCAAAGTATCCATACACATTAAATAAGTAAGTAAGTGAGTGAGTGAGTAAGTAAATATTTAAATATTAAAGATAGAATCCACAGTATTCAATTACCATACCTAAAGCAGAAGAGGGAGTAGGGTGGGGTAAACTAAAAGAAGACACATGAGTGCCTGAGTGCCTGAATACCCTGGGGCAGAAAGACCAGCCCTGTCTAGGGTAGCTGGATTTTCATCTCAGTTCTTTCTATCCTGCTTGGTTTAAAATCTCATGCAAGCATATTTTGGTAAATGTTTAAAGTTAAATAAAAACTGAATGCAAACAAGAAACAGCAAGCCACCCATCCACTGCTCTCAGCCACCTCTCGATTTATAGGTAC